GTCACTAGACTCCCACATAGTCAACCATGGTTCAAGTCTTGGACCTGGTGGCTTAAACTCACACCAGGCATGTGTTCATGTTTGCCCAAGATCCCAAGAGGAGAATAGAGAATGATTGCAGCATGGCCATCCCCCTGGGGGATGATTTCTCATTTTCTGTCTCTCTGTCTGTCTTTCTGACGAACACACATGCCCTATAGCAAAAATCTCTCTAAAAAAAAAAAGGTTTTCAATGATAAGATTTCAACAGTATTTTCAACAGATAGCATAACAGCAAAATTAAATAAATGATGCAAAGAAGTTTTTTAAATTACCAAGTTTTTACAACCTACATTACACATTTTAAAAACCTTTCAGGGACTAGCAGGTAGTGTGGTAGTTAAGGCAGCTGGATCTCACATGTCCAACTCTACTATTCAAGTCTCGGATCTGGTGGCTTGAAAAACACACCAGGCACATGTGTGTGCAGACCCCAAATTCTGAGAGTACAGAGAAGGGGCTGCAGCATGGCTATCCCCCTCTAGGGGACGATTTCTCACTTTCCCTCTCTTTCTATTTGTCTTCCTCCGGCAAGCACACATGGCCTCTAACAAAAATCTGAAAAATACAACCCCAAACCTATAATAGCAAAGCTTTGAAAAATATTAGCCTATCACGCAGAGAACACATGGCCTAGATACCCACTACATCTCAGACTGAGCATAGAAAGAACACTAGTCAGTCCCCTTGGGGGAAAAAACAGAGTAGGAATTCTTCTCTACTTCTCTTTTCTTTCCTAAGTAGTTTTGGAAGATCCACTATGAGAGCCATGGATTTGGTTACAAGTGTCCTGGATTTTTCAGAGGCAGAACAGATTAGCTAGCCAGAGCCAGGCCACATCTTTTCCAAGTGGGAAGACGAGGCCACTGTATTCACAGGCAGCGTGACACCGGAAGAGAAGGATGCTGTGATTCTGAGTAATGTTCAATAATATCCTCGAGTGCACCGGTGTCTTCAGCTCTTGTTTGCACTTGGTATCTCCCCAGGAGGGGTGAACTCTGAGACCTTGTCTCCCAAGCATTTCATGAAGGCACAGGCTTCATCATCATGACATTCACTGAGGGGCCAGAGCCCATTTAATGGAGTACATTTCAAATCTTGGGCCACATTATCATGCATAGAAATGCTACCTCATTTACCAAGGTGCCTAACTTACCTGCCCTCATTCTTAAGAATCTAGGAAACTTAATGAAATCATTTTAAATGTACCATAGCATTATTTTACATCATTTTAACCTTTTTTTTTTTTTCCATAATGTGCTCATCAGAGAGAGACAGTAAGAGCAAAAGTGAGACATCACCCCCCGCACACACCTGGGGGATGACCATGCAGCAATACCTTTTACTCCATCCTCTTGAAAATGTTAATGTCAAATGAATGTGACACAAAGTAGGTCTCACTCACCTAGCGCCAAACACACAGACATACTTGTCCAGCACATTCTTTTTTGGGGGAGAGGTTTTTGCTATAGGGTGTGTGTGCTCACCAGAACGACAGAGAGCGACAGAGAGATAGAAAGTGAGAAATCACCCCCCAGGGGAGATGGCCACACCGCAATTCCTTCTCCTCCGTTCTCCTCTCGGGATCTTGGGCACACACGCACACGTGCTTGGCGTGAGTTTAAGCCACCGGGTCCGGGACTCAAACCACGGTTGTCTACATGGGAGTTCAGTGACATAGTCATTACACTAACTGCCGGTCCCCCAGCATGCTCTTAAGACCCAGAGGTGAGTCAGTCCCTGAGTTTTTCTGTGCACAAAAATTTAAGCATTTTCTCCAGAATCTAAGTCCACTCTGCCCAATCCTGCTAAATAATTCATGGGTTCATTATCTCTAGCCTATGCTATTACAGCAGCTTTTCAGATGGCTACCCTGTTACCAAGTTCTCCCCACTCATTCTACTTCTGCAGATTCCTAGAAGCTTTCCCAGACAAGCAAAGACTATGTCATATTATTTAGGAAAAGTTGCATTGCCTTGATTTCCTTCTGGATAAAAGTTAAGTCTCTGATTCAGAATGAACAGTATATCATAATCTGGCCTCAACCTTTCCTTACAATCTGCTGTGGGGATTTCCTTAGTTAACATCTGAACACCCTGGAGAATTTCCCCCAGAGTCCCATCACATCTAAAGGGGCCAAATTTTCCCTCTCCCCATCACACCCTGTGACAGTCAGGTGGTGGGGACCCAGGCTCACCAGGCAGGTGCTCCTACCTGGGATCCTAGCTCTCCAAGGAGTCATGTGAAAACACAGGAGAGTTGAGTGTGGACCTAGGGCCAGCAGGGCCCAGGCAGGACCATGGCTGCCATGCCTGTGGTGTGACTCTGGCCATGTTTTCCTGCTGCCGGGCCTCCCTTGGCTCCCAAGGTCTTCCCAAGTTGGTTCTCCAACTTTCCTGTCAACTGTTGAGATAAGTAATATCTTTTCACACACTCCTTTTTCCCTAAGTTAATCTCAGTAGCCTGGTACTTTTGGCAAGGGCCTTGCCTGACACTCATTTCCATAGGCTCTGGCCTCCTTGCTGTCTCCTGCCATTCTGGAGAATGATGCAATTCTAGAGCCTACGCCTTTGGGAATGAACTGAAACAAACAGCAAATTCTTCCCCAAACGCTATACTTTCTAGCATTTTCAAAGTTTACTTTTATCCAGATGAGCTCACTGAGCACCTATGTTTCAGGTCTATTTGAGCAGTGGTTAAATGATGATGAGTGAGACCAGGTCTCTGCCTCTGCACAGCTCAGATGCTAACACTGGGTAACCATGTGGGCACAAGCCACCATGGCCTGAGATGATTTCAGCACAAGGCAGTTGTAACAATAGTTTCTGAGTAAAATTATGATCTACTCTTACCTCTATTGCCATTCTGCCCCAATGTCTGTCTCTTGGCCCTTGGACCCCAGGCTTCATGAGTGTCCTGCCACTGGGGACCTCCCCATTGCCACAGCCTGCCCAAGCCTGTTCTTGCCAATTACATGTCATGCTTTATGTCACCTTTCTTCTCAAACGTTCTATTATAAGTGCAGCTGCCCTCAGCTAGTGTTAAAAAGTAGTGATTAAGAGGCCAGCAGGTGGCATGGTGATTAAGGCACTGGACTCCCACATGACCAACTGAGGTTAGAGACCTGGACCTAATGGCTTGAAAATCACAATGGGTGCATGTACATGCATACCCAAAATACCAAGAGAAGGATGGAGGAAAAAGGATTGTGGCATGGCTAGCCTCCTGGGAGATGGTTTCTTACTCTCCCTCCATCTGTCTTTCTGGAAAGCACAAGTACAATATGGCAAAAACCCAAAAATAAATAAATAAATAATATTTTATACTAGAGATAAATTATCAATAGGTTTGACTTCTCTATGGGGGAGTTGGGGGGAGGGCTTTGCAGTAGCAAATGGATAAGTTGTGCATGTAAGACTTTTTTTTTTTTTTTTTAAGAAAGATTTTTGCTGCAGAGCATGTGGGCTTCCCAGGGAGACAGAAAGACAGAAAGGGAGAAGTCACCCCACCCCCAAGGGGGATGGCCATGCCACAATCCCTTCTCCTCTATTCTCCACTTGGGATTTTGGGCACGTATGCACACATGCCTGGCATGAGTTTCAAGCCGCCAGGTTCAGTACTCAAACCGCGGTTGACTACACGGCAGTCCAGTGACGTAACCATTATGCCATCTGCTGGTCCCCATGTGTGCAAATCTTTAATGGGGCACAGAAATGTTTGACTATGGGTGTTCTTCCTGTCCTGTCTGCCTGTCTGCTTCATACCAAGCCAGACCTTGCCATATTAAAATCCTTTATAAATAGATCATTATAAAGTCACTGAGGGCTTAAAATCTAGTCTCATGGGGTCCAGCAGGTGGCATGGTGGTTAAGGACTCCCACATGACCAACTGCGGTTTGGGCCCCGGACCAGGAGGCTTGCTTTCTCACCTTCTTCCTCTCTCTCTCTCTCTCAGGTGAGCACATACGGCCCATACCAAATTAAAATAATAATTAAACATTTAAAATTAAATAATTCTTAAAAAAAAAACCCTAGTCTCTTACACTTTTATAATCCCTTTGTTAGAATATTAAAGAGTTAATGCCAAATCAATACTAACGATTAAAAAATTCCACTGTTTTCTTTAAAAACTAAGAATAACTTGCCTTGGTGTCACTTAAGAATTTAGTGGCATAATCCATGGTAAGTGCATCATAAAGTGCAGCAGGCTTAATATCAACTATGTCCCACACCTTCTGGGCCCATTTCTGCAGTTCAAATGCATCACCCAGGAGTTGATCATTTATAAAACACATCACACAGGAAGAATATTGCCAGGTTTCATTCTTGAGTTCCTGTAAAGGAAAACAGCAACAACAAAATGTAATGAGGAAGAAAAACACAGAAACAAAACTTGCTAAACCCATAATTCAGGGCTTAGGATCAATTACAGGACTGAATTTGTCAACTGTAAGACTAAATCTCTTAAAAATATGAAAATATGTTTTTATCATCTTTCAGAATTTTGCTCTTAAAAATAATTTAAGAAGGGCCGGCAGGTGGCGTGGTGGTTAAAGATGCAGAACTCCCACATGGCTGACTGCAGTTCAAGTCCTGGAGTTGGTAGCTTGCTTTCTCACTTTCCCTCTCTCTCTCTTTCTGTCTCTCTCTGATCAAACTGGAATAATAAAACATAAAGTTAAATAAAAAATAGTAATTCTTTAAAAAAATAATTTAAGAACATTTTAAAGAATGTGACATCACTAATGACAAAGAATGATCTAAAAAAATCTTTAAAATGTTACAATCATGGGGCCAGCAGGTGGCATGATGGTTAGGGGTACTGGAGTCTCACATGGCCAGCCACGGTTCAAGTACCGCAGGACCTGGTGGCTTGCTTTCTCACTTTCCCTCTCTCTCTCTCTCTCTCCCCCCTCTCTCTCATGTCAAATTTAAAAATAAATGAATGAAATTAAGTAATTCTAAAGATAAAGATTGTTTTTGGATGGAGAAGGGTCATACTTGGAAATGTTTCCTGAAAGCCAACAAGGATTTCTGGGGCACAGTCAGGGACCATGAAAATACTTTCCTCAATACTTTTAAATCTTAAGCACTTCAGAACGAAATGCATTCACATTTTCATCCACTCATAGGTGACAGCCAGCCTCCTAAGTGCCCAGTGAGTGGCCACTGAACATCCCTCTGAGATCTACTTTGTTATTTCCCTGTGCCAGTCCTTGCAAACCATCCCCAAACTTTAGCAGATTGCAGATTCCTGACGCCCCTGCCTTTCTGATCCTTGGGTGGGGTGTGAGAACGTGCATGTCTGACAGCATCCCAGGGGATGACCACACTTGGAGAAGTACTTGTTTTTGGGAATAGTTTACCTACAATTTGCCAAGTTCCTCCATTCTTCTCTCTCAGATGAAATATTCTAATGCTTTCTTCCCATGCCCTTATCGAACCCTGCTTCCAGGGAAAGAAACTTGTTCATGTTCTCCTATACATCACTGGCAGGGCCCATGGCTCAGTACTCTCTGGAATGTAGAATTGATCACTGTAATATTTTATAGAACTCAAAACTTACTATTTTTAAAGTTTTACTATAGGGTGCATGCACTCACCGGAAAGAGATACAGAAAGACAAAGAGGAAAGTGAGAAATTATGCCCCCAGGGGGGATGGCCACACTGCAATCCCTTCTCCATGCTCCTCTTGGGATTTTGGGCACCACATACATCTGCCATGTTCCTCAAGCCTCTAGGCCCAGGACTTGAACCTTGAAGTTGGCCATGTGGGATTTGGCAGCCTTAACCACTACACCACCTGCAGGCCCTCCATGTCTCTTCTGTGCATTAGGATACCTCCCTGCCCACCTCAAGATAGTGGGCTGAACCTGATGGTTTCTAGAGCTTTCTAGTACTATGATGTATGATGTTGCCTTCCACTGAGGAGCCCTTCCCAAAGGCCCGGAAGTGATCCCCTTAGAATAGCATTACATTCTACCAAAACATAAGGCCAGCTGGACCTAATGACTGATTCACAGAGACCAAATGGACTAAGCAGCACCTCATACAGGTTGAGCATCCCTAATCCAAAATTCAAACTCCCACATGCTCCAAAATCCAAAAATTTCTGAGCACTGAGATGTGGAAAATTCCACACCTGACAGGTCACAAACCAGTAATGCAATACAAAAATATTGTATAAAATCACCTCAGATTGTGTGTATAAGGTGTGTATGAAACATAAATGAATTTATGCTTACACTTGCCCAAACTTATGTATATGCAATGTTCTAAAATCTGAAAATATCTGAAATATTTCTAGTCCCAGGGATTTTAGATAAGGGATACTCAACCTGTGTAACACAAGTCACACTTACATTGAAGAAAGAAAAATAAAACCTGGTCCAAAAGGAAGATTAAGGTGACACATATCCAGAGGAGAAAGGAAGGATAAGGAATGAAGTACGGATGGAAAGAAGCAGCAATGACTAACTAGAAAGCTTCACTGAGATCCATGAGAAAAACAGGAAAGATGGAACACAAAATATCTCAAGGTGACGATGGCTGAAAAGGGAGGAAACTGAGGACTTGAATTGACACCAATTTTTAAAAGTACAGTGGGAATACATAGAAGGCAAACCATAAGATCACGGTTTGCCTCCAAGTGGAGAACATGATACTGGTAGGCAGTTCAGTAAGTTTAGTAATAAAAATTGAGGGAAAAAGGTATGTTAGTGTGACCAACTGTCCTGCTTTGTCTATGACCTTGTTTTAGCACTGAAATTCTGACATCCTGGGAAACTCCTCAGGCCCAGGTGAACCACTGGTCACCCCAGCTGTTGTAATTAGAGTGTGTGTGTATGTGTATGTTTGTGTGCGTGTGTGTATACATACATATGAATGATTAGAATAGCATCTAGCACATAATATGCATCACATGCTCTTTCTAGAGCACTCCTGAATTTCAATGAAAATGTTTTATGGCTATGAAAGTATGAGACGTAATGAATGGGATTCTTGACTCAGTCTTGCCTTATGCATGTGACTGAGCAGTGTGTGAAGTGGTCTCATAAAGCAACACACCTACATGACAATTACAGACATTGCTGTGCAACCAAGCACAGAACAACTGCAGCTGCTCTGGTCAGAGGAAATGTGATTTCATCAGCTCCTGGGACGTGAGTTGGGGCAGAGAAACCAACTTCTACAGGGCTAGCCCAAGGGTGGCATGCCCCATTCCACCATCTCCAGCATGACACATAAGCCAGGATGCCATCTTCAAATTTTTATCGCATACTCCAGACAGCACTTCCAACTGATGATGGTTGGCACCTCAGGAGGAAATCTATCATCATGTACAAGCTCTGCTATCCCTCAGGTCCAGGGTTCTTCGATGGTACTGTAAGAGGCAGAATGCAGAGAAGGTAGTTTCAACTAGAAGGCTACCCTATGGAAACTTAGCACCTATTCTCAGAGCACCCTAAGCAACAGCCTCACACAAAGGCCCCCTGCTATCTCTGTGATATGCACAACCAACACTTTCCAGAGTAAGGCCGAGGAGAGTGCCAAACCAGGCCACCATAACTTGAGTGCCAGAGCGTCAAAGAGAGTGCGAGTAAGTGAGGTGCAGAGAGAGAGAGAAGAGGTAACCATCAGCAGAAGTAAATAGTACCGAGAGGCTTAAGCTTCCCCTTAACACAGGCCTTCCAAGGCTGAATCCTGTAAATGCTTTACTTAAAAAAAAAAAAAAAAAAATCAGCCTGGGGACCAGCAGATGGTGTAATGGTTATGTCACCAGACTCCCACATAGTCGATCGCAGTTTGAGTCTTGGACCCAGTGGCTTAAAATTCATGCCAGGCACATGTGCGTGCGTGCGTGCCAAAAAGTCTGAGAGAAAAATGGAGAAGGGACTGTGGCATGGTCACCCCACTCTGGGGGAGGGGGGGTGATTTCTTGGATAAGCACATAAGCCCTATAGCAAAACTCTCTCTTAAACAAAAATCAGCCTAGTAAAATGACTGCAATGATTTAGAAAAAGTACCTAATTTAGAGGAATAAAACCTAGTTGGACCAAACGTACTCTTTGTTTTTCCAAAGCAATGCATAAATAATTCAGGCAAAACGTTGCTTGTTGTCAGTATCCCGCTCACCCCAATATCCTTTTACCTTTTTTTTCTCCTGTAGAAATTGATCCCATGCAAATTCTTGAAGAGGGACAATTATAGGATCTTTGAATTTGGATGGATAATTATCCTTCAGACTCTAGGTTTCAAATTAAAATAATTAGTTTAATTTTTCATTTAAAATATAAATCCCCCCTCCTATTTTTATGGTCTCTAGGAAGTTATATGTAAAACACATACACGCCACACACCCTGACTGAGATGCCCCTTGGCTGTTCCTGGGGCCCCTGCACTTAGCTGCAAGTTGCTCCCAGTCCACACTGGGGCTCTGGCTCATTTGCCTCTCACCTCTAGAGTCTAAGCTCCTTATCAGTAAGCACAACTATGGCTTAGTCTTCCTCTAGTCTCACCTGCAGCATCTGATAGATAATGGTCATCCATATGCAGCAACTGAATACACAAATGAACCAAGTGAGGATATGCCAATAGTCAAATGATCTGCTGTTCTTTTAGCACTAGCTTTTTCCTAAATTAAATTCTTGCCAAACTTCATTTGGATCTACAGATACTTTACTTGTAACTAAAATAAATAAATGTTATGACTTTAATTCGCTGATGTACAAAGAATGACCAAAAGGATATTATTGGGGTTGTTCCCTTTACAGAAAAAAGAAGTACTAAATAACTTTAGGTTTAGATATTGAGTACATTTTGCTTCATGTATATTGTTTTGTCTGTATGAATCAGAGAAAAATTTTACTGAATAGCAATCCCTCTTAAAAAGTAAGTTTTGGGGACCAGCAGATGGCATAATGGTTATGTTGCTGGACTCCCATGTAGTTGACTGTGGCTCGAGTCCCAGACCAGGTGACTTGAAACTCAGGGCTGGCAGGTGGTGTGGTTGCTGAGAGTGCTGGAATCCCACATGGTTGACCGTGGTTCGAGTCCCAGATCTTGTGGCTTGCTTTCTCACTTTCTCTTTTTCTCTCTGTCCCTCTCTGGTCAAATTAAAATAAAGAAATAAAATAATTCTTAAAGGAAAAACAAAAACAAAAACAACTCATGCTAGGCGTGTGTATGTGCATACCCAAAGTCCTGAGAGGAGAATGAAGGGATTACAATGTGGCCATACCCCTGGGGGGTGATTTCAGCTTTCAATTTCTCTGTCTCTCCGGTGAGTGCATGTGCCTTATAGCAAAAATCTCTCTTAAAAAAAAAAAAGTAAGTTTTATTTCTAGGGGCTAGCATGTGGCATGGAGGTTAAGGCCCTAGATCCCATATGGCCAACTCCATGGTTCAAATAACAGATCCAATCGCTTGAAAATCACACCAGGCACAAGAGTGCATGACTCAAACCCCGAAGTGACTAGAGGAGAAGGGATTAAAGGATGGCCATTCATTCTACTCACTTAGGTTTATGCCTAAAGTCAGACTTGTGTTCATGGATATGTATATATCAGCTGTGCTTGCTATTGGAAATACTTAGATTAATTAAATTCAATTTAGTTCAAATAAAATGAGGGGGAAAAGCATAGAAAACAACCATGGATACCAGAGACAGTGTGGGAGGAGGGTGAGACACGGCAAGGGTGAGAGATAGGGAATCAAGGGTGGCTAAAATAATAAAATATACAAGAAACAAGTGGAAAATTATTTGAGGATAGCACATATGTTGATGTGCTTGATTGAGCTAATATACAGTGTATTCTGGATGGGAAATCTCATTTTGTATGCTATAATGATGTACAGTGAATGAATGTAAATAGATAAATTTTTTAAAAAGCATGGCTATCCCCCCAGGGGGTGATTTCTCACTTTCTTCCTCTCTCTGGCAAGCATATTGAAAGCCAAAACCTAAAATGTGAATTTTGGTTCTTGATATTGTTTCCTTCTAAAGCAAGAAAAGGCAGGTCGGATAGTGACAATTAGGGCTCATTTTTCTGCGTGGGTCTGCAATATACGAGAGAACCTTTAAAAGTTCAGGGATAATCTTTAAGTGTTCATTCTGTCACCCCCAAAATTAAACCCGTGCATTTTTTTTTTCACAATATACATTTTGCATAAAATTATTTTAAAAGAATAATTTAACTTTATTTACCTAAATTTGACCAGAGAGGAACAGAGTGAGAGCGAGCAAAGAGAGAGAGAGAGAGAAGGTGAGAAAGCAAACCACCAGATCTAGACTTGAACCACGATCAGCCTTGTGGGAACCCAGTGCCCTTAACCACCATGCCACCACCTCCCTTGCATACATTTTTTTAAGACCCCCTCATAGATTGGCCAACAAGGAAGAATAACAGTTGCTGCAGTTGGTAACTTCGCTGTTAAGGACAGTGCTTAGAGATCCTGCAGTGGTCTAAAAGACAGACCTGGCATACACCATCAGGGGTGAGCATTCTGAGCAGAGAAGGCCAGGACACTCAAGAAGGCAGCAGCAATTGGGCCATTTCCTTCTCAGACTAATGAACCCAGCCAATAGAGGGCATATCTTGCTGCTCAGTTTCAGTACCTGTGCTCAGTGTAAAGCTCAGTCCTACAAAGGTTACTGCTGTTTCTAACTGAAGAACCACCTGGAATAACCAATAGCTCAATATTTTCAAGTTAAGTACATTTTTCATAATTTAGTACTTGTTCCAGAATGGACTATATCCAAATGAAACTGAAAGTAATACTTAATCTTTTTACAATCCAAATCTTTGTTTAATCAGGTTTTTGACACTGCTTGCAAATTAGGTTAGGAACGTATCCAAATATCCTTTATTAATATAGAATGAACTGAATTTACATCAATATGTGTTCATGTTCGAACAGAACTATAGTTGGCAAAAAATTAGGAAGGAGAACATTATCAGTATAATAAGACTGTAGTTATTTATTTATTTATTTAAGGTTTTTGGTATAGGGTATATGTACTCCCAGAGAGAGACACTGAGAGGGAAAGTGAGAAATTACCCCCTGGGGGGATGGCCAGGCCACAATCCCTTCTTCTCTACTATCCTCCTAGGATTTTGGTATACATGAATATGCACCAGCATGATTCTCAAGCCTCCGGTCTGGGACTCAAACTGTGATCACCCGTGTGGGAGTCCAGCACCTTAACCACTATGCCACCTGCCAGTTCCCACACTGTGTTCTTGACTTAGTGTTTTCTATAGCATGGATTGGCAAACTGTGGCCAGCAGGTCAAATCTGATCTACTGACTGTTTTTTGTGAGGTATGAAAGCAAAGAATAATTTTTAGATTTTTTTTTAAATGGTTGAAAAAATCAAAAGAATCTTAGTTCATGTCATGTGAATTTTTTTTTTTGAGAGGTTTTTGCTATAGGGTGCATACGCTCTCCAGACAGACAGAGAGAGACAGAGAGACAGAAAGCGAGAAACCACCCCCCAAGGGGGATGGCCATGCCACAATCCCTTCTCCTCCATTCTCCTCTCGGGATCTTGGGCATGCACGCACATGCGTCCGGCATGAGTTTTAAGCCACCGGGTCCGGGACATGAACTGCAGTCGACTACATGGGAGTCCAGTGACATAGCCATTACGCTAACTGCTGGTCCCACATGTCATGTGAAAATTATAGGCAAGTCAAGGTCCATAATAAAGATGTTCCAATGTGATTTCTTAAAACAAGAAATGAAACAAGCCACTCCAACATACCACACAGGAGTTTAGTAAAAAGTCACTTAAATACACAGGAAAAGGTTGGGCAAAACAGTGACTCAGAAGCCCCGGCTGCTTCAACTCTGTGGTTCTCTCTCCCTGTCACCTTGTGGCAAAGCCTAGGCTTTTCAAAATCAGCTTATGGGACTGCACCTGTCAGAGGGTGTTTGTCCCCCAGCTCCTGGAATTATTATCGACCTGACCGACGCCCAGCTGGGCTGATGAGGGATCCTTATCTGAAGCAGTCTGAGCAGGAATGAGAAGGATAGAGGGCTATGAGGTGCCACCAGTAATTAAAGTTGGTCAGCTAAATGCCTACAAAAGTTTTATTGGGACAAATCCTTTATTCACACATCTATGGCTTCTTTTGCAACTCAAGGACAAAGAATAATTATGGGGGACCAGTAATATGGCTTAATGGTTACGTCACTGGACTCCATGGTTCGAATCCCAGACCCAGACACTTTAAACTGATGCCAGGTGCACGTGCATGCATGCCCAAAATTGTGAGAAAATAGAAGAGAAGAGATTGTGGTGTGGCCAACCCCCCCAGGAGATGATTTCTCACCTTCTGTTTCTCTGTCTCTCTAGCGAGTGCACGTGCCCTGTAGCAAAACTCTCTAAAAAAAAGAATTATGACTGAGACCCTATGGCCTGAAAGACCTAATATATTTACTACCTAGACTTTACAGAAAGAAATTGCCATGTTTCTCTACAGTGAAAAGCAGGCACAGAAAACATGTGCACTCAGAAGTTAAGAGGGAGCAGGTGGCATAATGGTTATGTTGATAGACTCCCACATGACTGCGGTTTGAGTCCAGGCTGGTGGCTAAAAACTCACACTGGGCACATGTACGTGCATGCCCAAAATCCAGAGAGGAGAATAGAAGAGAAGGGATTGCAGTGTGGCCATGCCCTGAGGGGTGATTTCTCACTTTTTGTCTCTTTTTTGTTTCTCCAGCGAGCACAAACACCCTATAACAAAAATCTCTCTTAAAAAATTTTTTTTTAAAAAAGCAGCTAAGAAAACTAGTGTGGGGGGGAATCCCTCAAACTCATTAAATACAACTTTGGCCATAAAAAGTTGCAAATACCATCTGACCTGCTGACATTGCCCATAATTTCTAATTCTTTTGATAATCCACCTATCATTTCCGCAGACTTCTGATGACTTATTTTCTCCATCTTGATGTCAACTTTGCCTATTTTGCCACTTATTTTCCTGATTTGATATAATCACAGGCTTTTCTTTAACTCTGTAAAAGCAGGCAGGAAGGCAGGGATTTTGTAAGGTATCATCTGAGAACATTCTGTTATCCGGCATCCAGCTGGGTACTTTGGGAGATACAAATGTGTCAAGGCATGGTCCTGGAGTCTAGTGAGGTTCTGGGGAGAGCTTAGTGTAGACAGCATTTCTGGGACAACCCCGAAATATGGGTTGAATTCAAGTTTCATACTTTTCTCCTGTATTCCTTTTTTCGGAGAGGTTTTTGCTATAGGGTGCATGCACTCTCCAGAAAGACAGAGAGAGGCAGAGAGACAGAAAGCGAGAAATCACCCCCCATGGAGCACAGCCATGCTGCAATCTCTTCTCCTCCATTCCCCTCTTGGGATCTTGGGCATGCACGCACACGTGCCTGGGACTCGAACAGCAGTTGACTGCAGTTCAGCAACATAGCCATTATGCTAACTGCTGGTCCCATTTCTCCTGTATTCTCATGGTGAGTGTGCTGAAGCACGGATGATCTGACCAAAGACTGCCAGTTTCTTCCTTTTTCCTTTTTCCAGTGTTTTTTCCTTTTATATGGTTCTGCATGTTTACAAAGAACTATGTGGACTCTCCAAGCACTTCTGGCCATTATAAAGATATTTGTGAAGCATCTAATTTCATGGGGATTCAGTGATAAATATAAAATGAGTTTTAAGAAGGGGAACTTCCTGAATGGTTTTCAAAAATCACTTGGGGAAGGAGTTTGTTTTTAAAAGTGGTAACACTTCTTCCAGATCATTCTTCCATGAATTAAAAAAAAATAATCTGTATTTCAGGACCAGCAAACGGTGTAGGGGTTATGTTTCTGGACTCCCATGTAGTCTACCAGGGTTGGAGTCCCAGACCCCGTGGCTTGCAGGAGCCCAAGATACTGAGGGGAGAATGGAGGAGAAGAGATTGTGGCATAGATACCCCCACACACACCCAGAGGGTGATTTCTCACTTTCTCTCATGTCTCCAGAGAGCACAGGTGCCCTACAGCAAAAATCTTTCTTAAAATAAAATTTAAAAATCTCTATTTCAATTAAAAATGAATGTGGGGAGGTGGGTCCAGCAGATGGCATGGAGGTTAAGGTAACTGGATCCCACTGGGTGGACTCTGTTGTTCCAGTAACATTTCCAACTCTGAGGCATGATTTTCAAGCCAGGTGCATGTGCATGTATGCCCAAAATTCGGAGAGGGAAATGTTCTAGAAGGGACTGCAGCGTGGGCCACACACACC